AATGAGGAAAACCTCTTTGGTTGGAGGTAAATTCCTACACTAGGCTGTAAAAGTGTTCAAAAGCAAGATTAGTATTTTGGCATCTGGTGGTCACCTGGATGTATCAAGATCTCACCCTGGTGTTTACTTACACAATGTCATTCATCTTAAGTATTTACCTCACTCGTATCATATTCTTTCTGTTGATATTTTCTCTTTTCCCCCTTCCAGAATAACATAGCTGAAGTTAAAGAACTCCATTCTGAATTAATGTGGAAGGACTTTATAGACCACATCAGTAAATTATTGCACAGCGTGGAGGTGGAAGTTAGCTACTTTGCAGCAGGGATTATTGCTCATTTGATATCTCGAGGAGAGCAGGCTTGGACATTAAGCCGGAGCCAGAGGACATCTCTCCTTGAACAGCTGGTACAGAAATGATGGTGAATTTTATCATACTCTTTTATGTTTTTTTCAGTGTTTGTATTTAACAATGAGTGTTCTTGGTTCTGTGTTTTGCAGCATTCTGCAATCTTGAATTGGCCAACCCCAGAGTGTGAGATGGTGGCTTACAGGTAACTATTGTCTTCATTTAGAGTTTGGAAAATAAAGTGAAGCAGATTTAAAACTTTTTCCCAAAGCAGAGTGAACTGCTGTCCAGACATGGGTTTTGTCCAGTGGAAAAACTCCTATTGGCTTAAAATACACAGTGTGTTAATGTTCCCTTTGTGACCAAAGAAAGTGAAGGACTCCTGTAAAAGACAGATGTAATGTTATTCTGCTACATTCCTAGTGAAGATACTCAGCTGCATGCCTAAAAGAGTCAGACACAAAGACTAACCAGTAAGGCTGTGCTGGTGAGCTCTAGGTTAGCACTGTCTGTCCTAGATAAAGAACCTTGAGGCCAGCAAGTACAATTAGATAATTACTGCCCATCTAGTCTTTATAATTTCCACTGGCTTTACTTCTGGTTTTAAGGAGCAGGAGGCATCCAAATGCTATGGTAAAGCATAGCATATACTCACTGTATATGATTTTAACTAGTAATTGCCTTAAACATTAAAAGGCTTGCCTGCTGCATCTAAAACTAGTTTACCAACTGTCTCTCCTAGTTAAACCTGTAGCTGAATGCATAGACAACGTGTGGCCTCTGAAGCAGTAACACCGAGTAGTAAAGTAAATTGCTGTTCTCCTTTTCTTACAGGTCTTTTAATCCATTTTTTCCACTACTTGGCTGTTTCATGACACCTGGTGTCCAGTTATGGGCAGTGTGGGCCATGCAGCACGTCTGCAGCAAAAATCGTATGTATTAAGATACTGTCACCCTTAAAATTTGTATTAGTATATTATTCACTAGCCTTAAATGGGGAAAAATGAGAATTCCTAGGGTATTCACTCCTAATCCTCTGGAAAAGACTACATTTAGGCCTTGGCTAAATGGGGCAGGGGAGGAAAGTAATAGAATTTCTTTATATCCTTTTTATTTACTGGAATTTTACTGTTAAATGCACAGTGTTCATTCCAAACTGTGGATGTGTGTTAAGATTAACTAAGTTTTTGGCTTGCAAAGTGTTTTTGCTCAGAAATGTAAATATTAATAATGGGCAACAAATTCCTTTTAACAGCAATGATTGTAGCAGTTAGTGATGTCTTTACTATGAGAGCACAAGTTTTAGGTAATCCTCATTGCTAATCACCATTTTGCGATAATCTGCTATTACATGAAACTCAGTTTCTTGATTTGTCTTTCCTATTTGCACAATGAGAACACCAATGTCTTGTTTGTAAAATGATTTGGGGGCGTGTGATGAAATCCCCAAATGTTGGGGAAGGAAATAAACCCCCTGAACACTACCTAAATGTAGGAATGAACAAACCTTCCTGGCTTTTCATGCCCTTTTTGTTTTTGACATTAAGTGGGTATGATATGAACGTGTGTATTGTCGTGAACTTCTACCAGCTGGAAAGCAGCTTTCCTCTGAAATATTAGAAGTATTTTCTGTGCCTGCTGTTTTAATCTTCCTGAGAGCAGTACATTTATGCTTGTTTATCCCTGTCCCATAAACCATTATTTTTACAATGAGAAGACATTTATTTGGGATCAAACAAAAACATTGCATGTTATATAATTGCACCTAAGTGCAAAGTACTGTGAGGACTTTTGCCATGTTGAAGTAGGATTGTTCTGACAAGGCTTTTGTACTGGTCAGACCATGGATAACAGTTTTTGATGAAGATCCTGTAATTTCTCTTTGGGCCTCATATATGTTCTCTATTTATTTTTAGCACCTATTTTGTGGTGTTGTAACCTCTGAGCTTTCAACATGCCACAGAGTTTTGTGTTGGTAGTAACTGCTGTGTAGAATGGAGAGGCTGGAAGTACTCTGTGAACTCCTGATTTGAGCTCAGGATGGTATTTGGGAAGTCTGATGGTAGTTGGTGCCAGGAGCTTCTGGACAAAGTTGCAGAGAAACCAAATGTAATAAACTACTGGGGGGAAATATATTTAATTCTGAAATATATTTATTTGACGTTTGGCACCAAGAAAAATTTTTTGTCCTGGAGAGGAGATGCATTCTCTTTTGAGTTCCTCTTTTTAGCTGAAGGTGAAAAGTAGTCTGGAATTAATGGGATTGATTTTTCTTGTTTATTTTTTCTCCTTTTGCTGTTTCTCTGTATGATATGAGCTAACTTAACAAGAATACTAGTAGCACTGCAGTAGCTGTGATCCCCAGTGGAACACTTAATGTGAACATTTAGTGTTGCTTCACCGCGATGAATGGTGAAATAGGGCACATCTGAGGTAACGCTCTGTGGATTGCACTACAGTCCTCCTGATGTTTATGCAACAACTTCTGAACTTGCATGTTACATTAGACATATAGGTCTTTTTATACCTGGTCCTTGCACATAACACTGGAGCTGATGTAGGCATGCTTTCAGCTTCATACAATCAATAATGAAAGTGGAAAAAAGTAGTATTGTATCCCTGAAAAGCCATTCATAGCAGCTTCTAACTAGTTGAAGGGCACCATCGGTAGTGTTTGGCAAACTGGTTTTGGAGGAACCAGGTCCTACTTGCTCACACAAGCCTGTTTAACTGATGTGATGTATCTGAAACCATTTTCTGGTAACTTGTACCAGTGTTTTGGGTGAAGGTGATATTTTTACCTGGATACTCATAGATACTGTAGTATTTTAAAATACATATATATGCACTTAAAATACCTGTAGAGGAGGCGGATGGAGAGAGGAAATACTATGCATATTACAGGGCACTTTTCAGTCGACTAAGACAGACATGGAAACACACCTGATTACGACTGGAGTCCTGTCCAAAGACCTCTGTTGTTCTCTTGTCACTTGGTAAAGTACAAATGCACTTCTGCAGACACTTTACTGAGTGTCCTAAATGCTGCCTTGTCTAGGAGATGAAAGTGGATTTGAATCACTGTTTCCAGTATCTGCTACATTTACCCTAGATAATGGTTTTTAATTCCCTTTTTTTAAATCTTATTACAGCTGCCAGATACTGCAGCATGTTAATTGAAGAAGGTGGTTTACAGCATTTATACAACATCAAGGAAAACGTCCAGACTGATCCACACGTCCAAAGGATTGCTATTGCCATCCTAGATAGTTTGGAAAAACACATTATGCGTCATGGGAGACCACCGCCCTGTAGAAAACAACAACAGAACAAACCAAACTGAATGCTGCAGGTATAGGAGTGTAAAGTATTGTCTCTGTAATAATCCTTTCTGATGTGTGTGTAGTTGGAGTTAACTTGTAACATTGTGGTCACCATTAAAGTGATTTGCCAATAATTGTGGTACCCAGAGCCATGTACGGTAACCATTGGTGAAGGTCAACTTTAATGGCAACCGCATATGCAACATGTAAAGGGTAACTGCTTGAGCTGGTCACACCTCTAGGATTACTGCTGGCTACAAAGACAGGGACTTGTACAGATCTGGAAAAAAGACTTCTAGGAATATCTTGTTTTGTGACCTCTGGGAGAGAAAGTTATTTCATCCCTATGATTGCTCTTCATAACACTGTTTACCAGTTTGGTGTTTGAATAGAACTGTGTGTGGTTGTGAGATTCAACACTTTTACACATTAAAACAAAGGTACATGCATGCAGGTTACAAGAGACTTCTAACTAAGGCGACCAAAATGTCCATTGTCTCACAACCCTTCTAAACACAAGTAGGGTCTTCAACTTCCTTTTCCTTTTGCCTGCAAGCTGTGTTTTGTTTTCCTGACTGCTAGAACAATGCCTCTTTGCAGTTCAGCTCTCCTGAGCCCTCCCTGCTCTTGCTAAGGTGAGGACCGGCACTGCATCAGGGAATGGGGAAACCTGCTAAAGTAAAGCAATAGAAACAGGATTAAAATGAGACAATACTGAAAGGATGAGGTAAGCTTGAGATTTTAAATTTGATAACAAGAAGGAGGTTTTGTTGTTGTTTGACTGCTTTTGGTTGTGTGTGATATCTTTTGTTTTCAGAATACGGAAAGGGAAAGGAGAAGGCTCATTAGTGCAAAATACTGACTTGTCTTCATCATGAAGGGGACTGCATGTCTTTGTAAGAGGCCCAGGATATTTGGTCACCTTATTTATAAGACTAATGATTGCTCTGTTGTTTTCTGTAAATACTCTGTCAGTATTGTGCAGTGAATTATATTTCCAAGTCATCACAATGCAAAATACCACCCAATGTTCTATGTAAGCCCTGTGTCAATTGCTTTTTGTGGAGTGTGTAATTTTACATAAAGATGCTAACTGTAACAACTTCTTTCTTTCTACGGGTTTCAGTGATGTGTTGAATGAAATATATTGCACAGCATACAGATGCCTGATAAAATGCAAGTGATGGAAGCAAACTGCATGTCCATTCAAATTCAGTTTAATTTCAGGTATTGTTTTTGTTTATCTGGTTAGTCTCCATATTTCTATGGCAACTGACTGATATTCAGAGACACTTCTGTAAATACATTAGTAATGAATTAAAAAAGAAAACATGTTTGGTAGTTTATTTGCAGGGATGGCTATTTCATGATGACCATTATTTTGCTATTTTTAACTCCTTCCTTCTCCCAAATCCCATCCTTCAAATAAAAACATCACCTCTAATCTTCAATAATCTAGTTATTGTGTATTTCAGTAACTTCAAAAGGTACTGATCCAGTAATTTAATCAATGTTGTGGAACTGCTTTTTGTACGAAAGTATAATTTGGCCTGCGTAATTTTCATGTGTGTATCTGGTTATATACAATTTTCTTGATTTGATTGTATGAAGGTGGTTTAAAAAATGATAGTGGGCCTGCAAGCCTTTACCTACCACCCTTCTGAGCTGTCTGCTATAGGACTTCTGCTATGAACTTTCCGTTACATGAAATGGCACACAAAACTTGTCAAAATTGGTGTTAATAGAATGAAAATAAATCAATTGCTACACGATTTTAAAATAAAGATGACAACTCTCCTTACAGTATTGTTTTTTCCTAGTAACAGGAGAACTTGCTGAAGCATCTTAACTAAAACTGTGTGTGTGTGTCGAGGGACGTCTTCTACTAGATGCAGCTCAATATGAATGTGATAGTCTCAGTCAGATGGTGAAGCTGCTACTTCATTGTCGTGGTTTAAACCCAGTCAGGTAACTCGTTCGCTCACTTCCCCCCCTTTTCTTGCCCTCCCCCTGCTCTCGGAGGGACGGAGAGGAGAATCAAAAAGAATGCAACTCCCACGGGTTGAGATAAGAACAGTTTAGTAACTAAGGTATAACACAAATCACTACTGCTACCACCAATGATAATAATGATAAAGGAAATAACAAGGGAAGAGAATACATCATCTCACCACCAGCCAACCGATAACTCGCCCCCCCAGCCCGACCAAGCTCTGACCGATACCTCCTCCAACCCTGCAGTCTCCCAGCCCTTCCGGCTAACTCCCAGTTACATCCTGGGCATGACGTGCTGTGGTATGGAATACCTCTTTGGTCAGTTTGGGTCAGGTGTCCTGTCTCTGCTTCCTCCTGGCTTCCCCTCCTCCCTGGCAGAGCATGAGGCCCACAAAGTCCTTGGCCAAACCAAAACATCGCTTGTTATCAGCTCTGTTCCCGAGCTGAAAGTCAAAACATTGCACTGCACCAGCTACCAAGAAGGGGAAAAATGACTGCTACTGCTGAACCCAGGACATTATCCACCCCTTATTCCATACCATTCACGTCATGCTCAGATCCCACATTTTCAATATAACATCACTCTTATCTCGGTGCACTCTTAACTTAGTGCATGGACCAGTCCCTATAAAGCTGCTGTGTCCATCTGGTCCATGATGTCAGGCTCCATCTCTTGTAACAGTCTTCCAGAGCAGGAGAGACTGTGTGCAGTGTTCACACTCGTGAATAACCTGGGCAATAGTGTCCATTGCTAAGTCCACCCCTCGATCATGAGTCCATCTCTGTGTTGCATCTCTGCTCTGATGGCCTGAAGTGCCATGGGCCCACCAGGCTCAAAATAATTCACTGTCCCCTTCAGCAGTTTCTGCAGCTTGTTGCTGGGGACTCCATACAGCTGCCTTCCATCTCCAATGCTTCCAAAGCACTGGAGGGGCCCAGTGGACTAGATACTTGCCCATACTGTCCCACACACCCTGCCACTCATGACTGTCCAGCCTTGGAGAAAACCTTTTGGTCCCCCTATATCCTTGTCTAACCCCAGACAAGACCCAAACCTGACTCTGCTTAACTTTTGAGATCAGACAAAATGGTTGTGGGTAGCACACACTCTGTGTGTGTGCCAACATGCTGATCCCCATCACAATCAGCAGGCAGGTCCCAAGGACACCCAAAGGCCATTCAAAACCTCCAGAACTCTCAAACGATGCTGCTGTACTTGTCACTGGGGCTGGTGTAGCTGCTGTACTTGTCACTGGGGCTGGTGTAGCTGCTGTGCTTGCCGGCTCTCCCACCGCCAGCTTCTCTTTTCCTGAGTCCAGCTCTTCCTCCTCTGCCTTGCTGGGAAATGCTGCGTGGTCTCCTGCATCCTCCTGGGGCTCGGCTCTTCCGCGGGGCTCGGCTCCTCCGCGGGGCTCGGCTCCTCCGCCGCCTTCTCCCGCTGCTCTGCAGCCGCCTCCTTCCTCTCCTCGACCGCTCCGACCTCCTCCACCGGCAGCCGTCCCCTCGCGGCCTCCGGCCCCGCTCCCGCCGCCGCTCGGTCCCCGGGGCCGCTCTCCCGGGCCGGTTCGGCTGCCGCCGGCTCCCGGGGCCGCTCCCCCTCGGCTCCCCGCAGCCTCACGAAGATGGAGAGTAGGGCGAGGGCCAGGACGGTGAAGAGCAGCCGGACGGCCAGGTGCAAGTCCACGGCCACGTCCGTCCCGCCGTGCTGCTGGAGCCCGCCCGTATTACAAGCCATTGCCATAAAGCACAGTGAGACAAGAACCTTAGCCCAGGCCCCATACTTGATAAACACTATCACAGCAAATACCGGCTCTACGTAAGTTACAACATTCTGAAGCTGTGAGATCAAGAGAAAGAACTCTGAGAGCCAATAAATCAGCATTGTGACGAGTGACTATTAATCCAGTCAAATCTGTCGTTATCTCAACCCTTCGTGCCCCACTTTGGGCGCCAAAAAGAACCGTCGTGGTTTAAACCCAGTCAGGTAACTCGTTCGCTCACTTCCCCCCCTTTTCTTGCCCTCCCCCTGCTCTCGGAGGGACGGAGAGGAGAATCAAAAAGAATGCAACTCCCACGGGTTGAGATAAGAACAGTTTAGTAACTAAGGTATAACACAAATCACTACTGCTACCACCAATGATAATAATGATAAAGGAAATAACAAGGGAAGAGAATACATCATCTCACCACCAGCCAACCGATAACTCGCCCCCCCAGCCCGACCAAGCTCTGACCGATACCTCCTCCAACCCTGCAGTCTCCCAGCCCTTCCGGCTAACTCCCAGTTACATCCTGGGCATGACGTGCTGTGGTATGGAATACCTCTTTGGTCAGTTTGGGTCAGGTGTCCTGTCTCTGCTTCCTCCTGGCTTCCCCTCCTCCCTGGCAGAGCATGAGGCCCACAAAGTCCTTGGCCAAACCAAAACATCGCTTGTTATCAGCTCTGTTCCCGAGCTGAAAGTCAAAACATTGCACTGCACCAGCTACCAAGAAGGGGAAAAATGACTGCTACTGCTGAACCCAGGACATTCATGAAGTTCTGCAACCAGCAAGTACAGAGATTGTAAATAATTTTCCATACCCTTCTTGTTTTGTTCCCCCATACTTCAAGCAGTGAGCAGAATTCTCTTAAGCTGAAAAGTATGTATAAATCCACTAAACTGACTTGCAGTTACAGAAGGATCTCTTCGCATACCTGTGCAGCCTTTAGGAATTCCTGCCAGGGTAGGGTAATCCTGGAAGTGACTTTTAAACTCTTACATTTCACCTGTGGCATTTGACATCTTTTTTTTGAGGGATGAAGATCCTGACTCTGCTTTACCTTTGCAGATCTTTACACAGGAAACTTGTATATGTATAATCTCGTAAGGTTACCTTAACCACGGAATTGCTGGGTTAACTTTTGGCACATGGGAAATTCTGTTTTGGTTTGATACTGTCATAGAATCATAGAATAGTTAGGGTTGGAAAGGACCTTAAGATCATCTAGTTCCAAGCCCCCTGCCATGGGCAGGGACATCTCACACTAAACCATGTCACCTAAGGCTCTGTCCAGCCTGGACTTGAACACTGCCAGGGATGGAGCATTCACAACCTCCCTGGGCAAGAAGTCATACCAGGAAGTGATGCCCAGTTCCAGTGTGGTAAGCTACTTCTTATCAAGTATATATTTGATGATCTATAATATATTTACTAAAAATATATTTCCCTAGCTCTACCAATTCACTTTTGCTTGAAAGCTCCAGTCTAGGGTAGCAGGAATCTGTAGAGGTGAACTATGTGGCATGTCTCAGTGCTGGAGAATTTCTAAGCAGGAGAAAGTAACTTCAACTTCCAATCAGGCAACAGAGGAAACTAAGCAATGGGAGAGTGGTGACGTGCCTATGATGCCTGGCATAGAGTGATCTGGTGGCCATATATATATATATATATATGTACATACACACACACACACACACACACACACATATATATATATACAAGGTCATGCATTTTCCCAAGCACTGATACCAAAGAGACCCAAGTTCAGCTGCCTGGAGTGGTACCTGAATAGTGCTTTGCACTATTCACAACAGATCTGGGGTAAACCACCATTGCTCTGTGTTAATACAGCTTGTTCTGTCTGATTAGTTGGAAGAGCACTGATAATGAATGGGAAGCAGCTTTAGGAAGGTTTTTTTTCCCTCTGTAAGTTAACTCCCTGTCGGTGTTTAGATGGAGCATGTTTCAGTATTTAATTTTCATCCTTTTTAATCTCCTTACAGTGAGCCAAAACTTCTCCTTTCTCCTTCCTTGACATCTGTTTGAGAGTTCTAACCACTGCTTTAAGATGTATGCACTTTAAAAAGGTCAGCTGTACAAAGTTAATGCTTTATTTGGGAATTCTTACAGCAGAGTAATCCAGTGGAGTATTCAAAAATGCAGTCCAAGGCAAGGAACTAAGTACACAGAATGTGATCATAAAAATAATCCTAAGAAATCAGTGGGTCCTCTTCAGTCCTCCTTTACTTTCAAAGGACCAAGGGAAAGCTAGGAAGCGTTATTTGCCAATAAACTGAGGTGGTCGTTTCTCCCTGAAGGCAGCCATCCCCTCCTGTCGGTCTCTTGTGGGAATGTTCTACATGGAAGGAAAAATAAGTACATTTTTCACTGATAAGTCTGATGTGTTTTTAAGTACTGATTAATTTGGCAGTAGTAGGCTAAGACTGCTTTTCCTTCAGTGATGTATTAACTGCTGCCTTTCATGTTTTGCAGTTAGGTAAATAAGAGACTGGGTTGTAGTGCGTAAATCATAAGCAAAGCGCTTAAGACAAAGGCCATAGACCAGAGAACTAAAGAGGAAAACAAGTTTTCCACAAGTTTAATGCTTTACCATCTTAAAATACACTGAGAGGCATAACAGTTACATTGTTCCATTAGCTGAGAAAGGTGCATGCTCTCAGAACTTGTAAAAAAAGTGACTACAGGAGAAATCTGGATTTAGTTTAAAACCATTTGTAAGACTCATCCTATAATTAACATTGGTGAAACCAAGACTGCGCAATTACTTCAGACAAAAGAGTATTTAAGGAAGGACTGTGGTCTCAGGCAGGCAGAGAGAAGCAGCTATGCATGACACAACAATTTATATTCCAAAATAGAGATCTGGAACTGCATTCAAGTATGTTCTCAAGAGTTTTAGATTTAGCTGTTAGTGCTCCCTTATAGAGAGGAAAATAGAAGAGGATGATGTGAATAGCTGGCTTTAGGAAATATACATTTTTTCTTTTCAGGAATGCATTATGAAGGTAACCAACCTACCTGGGCATAGCACATCCCCTCAATAGCCATCCCTGATGCAATGTCAACCTGGGGATGAGAGGGAAGGAGTGAGTTCTGGCTGAAGCATCACCCTAAAACCACTTCATAACCCTCAAATCAATAACCATTCTCTCCTAGTGAGGGACCTTCACTCCTGTATTAGAGCAACAGTGTTAACATCTGTCTAAAAGGAAAATTCTGCCACATTAATTTTGTTTTTAAAGAAAAAAAGGTCTTTAAAATCCCTGGAAAGGTTTTCAATGTCTTGTCAAGGTATGGATTATAACTCATCTGTCTCCTCATTCACCTCAGTATTTGAAAGATAAATAAGTTACCTCCATTCCTCTGTTTATTGCCAGTTTTCCCATTTTCACAGCAAATGGAGCCTTTATTGAAAACAAGACAAAAACCAATCAACTAAACCAAACCACAACAAACATTTAAAAATAAAGCCATTTCCATTCATAATAGTGTACCTGCTGCATCGTTTTCCTAGCACCAAAGGACCTTTTTGCATAGAGAAGTTTGCAGTAAGTTGGTAAGTATTTTTAAGAACCAATTTGGTGTTATCTGCAGTTAACAGATGTACACAGTGCAAGTCAGTGTGCTCTGCATAACCACAGCTGGGAGGTAAAACTGTCCTATGGGTTAAGCAGCTGGATGTTAATGCTTGTTCCTACAGAAACTGCATTCACAAAAAGGACAGAGTTAGAAGACCTGCAGGAACCAAGGCTCTCGTATTTCACAGAACTGAATTTCAGTTGTTTGCTCTCTCTCTCAAAGGAAGCAGAACTGCCTTTACACTGACTACAGGTAAAATGCACTGACCTGAGGAAGGATTTCTTTAGCCAAAGTCAATGCTTTCTGGTAAGCTGCATCTCCTTCGTTGTTTTGTGGCACAGTGTGATTTACTAACCCAATTGAGGCAGCTTGCTGTCCATCAATCTGTCTACCAGTGAAGATAAGTTCCTTTGCAAGACCTATTCCAACACATCTGGGCAGGCGCTGGGTTCCACCTTACAACAACAGCAAAAACACCATTGTCCATTTCTGAGAAATACCCCAAAACAAAAGTATTTTGTCTTCTTACATAACAAGGTTTGTGTTTCTTTAAGAACTGCTAGCTGAATGTGTCAACATTTTGCAAGGCATCTGAAAGGCTTGAGCATCTCTGAGTATTGTGATAAACAGGAAAAAGTAAATGGACTTTCCTAATTTCATAGCAAGTCCAAGACAGGGCTTGGAACAGAACTGTTTGTTCACAAATCTTTTGGGTCACTATAAGATGCTGCTTCTAATTTACAGTCAAAACACTTCAAGTGCTCTAATGGTAAAATGTTTACTATATGGCTCAGAAAGTAAGAGACTGAAGACTCAATGAAGGTTACCTGCTCCAGGAAGAAGCCCCCTTGTGGTCTCAATAAGGCCCATTTTAGCTGATGAAGCTGTTTGTTAAAAAAACAAATACAGGGTTTAGGTACTTCTTGATCTTTATAACTACGGGTTTTCCATAGTGAACTGATTAATGAAACTACAAACTGCCAATAGTGAGCTGGAACTATTTCTCCAGGAAGTTGGAAAGTCTGAACACTACAGTATTTATCAACAGCCATCTCGAGTCAGCTGAGGGATGTGTAGTATTAGCTACTTACCCCTAATTGTAGCCATTTTATCTAGAAAAATGAACCTTGAGTCCATTCTAGATGAAGCGTGGAAGAATGGAAACAAAAGAACAAGTCTTCCACTCCAGACTGATTTAAGTAGGGAAGGTTAGATCTAGCCAGAATGCTGATGCAATATTACATGATAATATCTGTAATTCTACCAAGAAATAATCCTAATCTTGTCTAAAACTAGGCTTTACTTTTTTAAGCAAGGAAACTGCTTTCCCATTAGTAGCTAAATGTCAGAGGTTTGGGACAAACATCTATTCATTTCCTGAACGTGCAAGTTCCTCTCTCTGGATTCCATCACCAGTCAGCTATCACTTGTGCAAGGTCTCTTTAAAATAGTCACCAAATTCAAGAAGATTCCTATATTAAGCAACACACAAACCTGCTACTCGAAGGTCACAAGCTAACGCCAGTTCTAGTCCACCACCCAGTGCATAGCCATCTATTGCAGCAATTGTGGGTACAGGGAAAGCCGCTGCAGAAGAGAACACAAATTATACAGTTTTGTTCCAGAAGTTCTGCTCCATTAACGTTGGGAATTTCAGTGCTTAAATGCTAAAGCTTTTAGGAGTTCTCAAATTCAGAATGGCTCAAGAATTCATATTCTGCCACAAGATTTCCGACTGTCTCTAAATGGTAGGAACTGTCTTTCTGTACTTCTCCCTTCTTCGTGAAAAGAATGCAGAACATTCTTCTTGCATGTGAAGAAGCATGCAAATACAAATACTGCAGCACAAACCAGGATGAATTGTCTCCTTGCAAATGCATGGTGTGAATATCCAGCTGTTGCAGTTAAACAAAGACATCATTCCTAATCACTGTTACAAGGATTAGCCTTTCTGCTGCTTTCCTTAGGTGAGGCTCCTGAATTTGGTAAACGCTGTTACCACCTTAAAACTGAGGAGCCTGAGGTGCATGGAGATTAGCTCCAAATCCATGTTCTTAGGTCACTGCCATATGATGAGTACTTCAGAGCATGTACTAAAATTGGGACAAACAGCTCATTTCATCTAGCATTGTCTCCCAAGAAATACACAGAACTGCATATAGTATCCTTTGTTGTAGCACATACTATATGCATGTATGTAATACTCTTCATCATGGATAAGGCATCCTGTGCTTGGTATTTAAGTCTAATATGATCTTTGTTTCTTGCATAAGCTGGAGCCGTTTGGGAAAGCTACTCCTAAATGGGTAACTTGCTGGGCCTAGCATCCTTCCCCTCCTGGAGCATTCCTAAATGTCTCGGTACAGGCAGTCAAGGACAAATATCCTGAGATAATTATTTACCTATTTCATCCATGAGATTCCTCAGCCTTTTAACAAAGTGCCCAACTTCCGCATCATCCATCTGTGCACGTTCCTTTAAGTCTGCACCTAAATAGAGGATATTAAAAGGTTAGAATCCAGGAACAGGGAAAAGACACCTGAACTGCATTCCCTCCTGTCTCTCTTGGGACACACACCATTTCA